GGGACCTTGAGCAGATATCAGAAGCAGATTCCTTTATACTCAAGGCCATGGGATTGGAGCAACTAATGGCAATTAATTACTTTTATTTATTTATTTACTTTTTACACCTGTCTTTATCTTATTTCATTTATTTTTAAATCATTTTATCGGGGGCTCATACACCTCTTGTGATAAGGGAAAATAATTATTTAAATTGGACGCCTTGCTTAGAATCAGCTGGACCTGCGAACTGTAGACATTTGTCATGTACAACTATGAACTTGACCTCTGACCCAGGTCCTAACCTTCCCAATAATGTCTAGGGTTCATTCTTGGCAGAGAACAGAAAACAAACGACGCAGAGTCTCACTCCTGAGAATAACGGGGAAGGCCCGCACAAAGAGGATAAGAACAATGACAAATCAGTCAGGCAAGCAGCTGTGAGGAAAGTAGCCAAGTGGGAGGGGCCAGCACCCCCTGGCGGTCTGGTAGCAGTCTCAGTCTCAGCGGGGCTCGTTCCCACTGTCTAGCTTCCGCAGTGTCCGTTATTGGGCCCAGGAGCTGGCCTAGCTCTGGGACCGCAACTCCATTCAACCACCAGGACCACACAGATGCCCTCTTTTGAGAACCACTTTCTAGAAACTTAGCAAACATCACCTCCCCACCCCCTTTTTTTTTAGCCCATTAGTTCCAGGAAGTTCTTCCGAGCAGATCCCTTCCGTTCTCCAGGCTGTGGCTGCTGGGTCCCCCTCAGTAATTGACTGGGGGGTCACAGCCCAAGGGGCTCACAGTTTTGGAGAAAGACACAGGCGCATAAGGAAAATTCTAACATCTCAAGCTAGGGGCATGACAGAGATGAGCACAGTATGCTATTGAGTTGCAAAATAGTTACATCTAACTCAGTAGGCAGGGGAGAGCTTGGAGCTTTGGTTCTCAACCTCTGCACCAACTACCCTGGGATGGGAAGCCACAGAGAACGCGACTGTGTGTTTTGGGATATTTTGAAAATTTAAAGGAAACACCGATAGTAATATTCAGCAGTTTTTAGATACCACAATTATAAACCACGAGCTCAAGGGAGTTCCCAGTATCAACATTAGATTGACACCATGCTTGTAAAGTGGGCTTTGGGGACTGCTACCCTCAGCAGGAAGTGCCCATGAAAATCAAGGGCC